GCAAGAAGGTTTCTTTCAGGGCAGGTTTAAAGCCTCAGCCTTCTGAGTGGTTATGATACCCCGTCACAAGGGAGAGTACCAACATCCAACAGATGGGGCAGATGCTTAAATAATAAAGGCGCTTGTAATTTTTAAACTGTGCCATCGGGATTCGCATCTTTGTGGATGTTTGAAAAACTGGCTCTCTCTCTGGACGAGCAATGTTTTTACTGTAATGCAGAAGAAAAGCTGCTATCACATCAGACGCTCATGACAAGAAAACATTCTCTGTTAAGTTCAAGGTATCAACTTTGGGGAACAAGTTGTTATCTTAAGGGAAAGATCTAAGACAAACTGTACTTAAAATTTTCACACCTGGTTTTATGAAGTGTCATTTCAATCAGTAGACTGACTTTTCATGGAACCACATTAAAATCGAAAGTGAAACTTAAACCCGAGAGAGTAAAACTACTTTGCCTCTTCCGCATAGAAAATAGTTAAATATAAAATATCAATTATTCTATAATTACCTGCCAATAGAGAAGGGTTATGTCAATTTTGGGGGGCCCAAATTAAAAATAATGCTTCAAACCCAGAAATATACTCTTTCATTATTAATCCGAGTTCTTTTGCAACAGTTTAAAGATTTTAGGGCAGCCAGGCAAACAAAAACATAGTTCAATATTCTAATATTTGTGGGAATAAAATCCTGCCTTGCTAAAGAATGATTCCTTCCCCCAAAAAACATCCTAGTATATCTAAAATACTAGGCTTTTATTGCTGTTGGACTGTTCCATCTCCACAGAAATGACTGAGTCACTATGACTAAGTATGATTTATACAAAATGAAACATAATAATGATTTCCCTACGTGCTCTTGGTGGGGGAGCTGGATGGCAGGAATGAGGACAGGGTGCAATTGAGAATATTCACCAGGGACCCACTTATGTGCCAAGTCCTAAGCTAAACGGTCTGTAGAGGCTTTCAACAAGCCCATCCTGTGTCATTGACGAGAACTACTAATAACTGATAAGTAAATTCTAACTACTACAAAGATTCCTACTCAAGGCATACAAAGATTCTGCTGTGAGAAGTAGCCTCATTCTGGATCAACACTACCTTTCAGGGTCTGCCCACGGGATGACCAAAAACCTTGGCCTGGCTCGTTCCAACTGCATCTCCCTCTCATTCAGCTATTTTGAAAAACAACTGCCCACCCATTGGAGGCGTCCCTTTAGCCACCACCCTCTCCCACAAAGTAAATGTCCTATGTGCTACTTGGCCTGTATTTTAATCAAACCCTTAAGATAGCCCCTCCAAATTTGGTGAAAACCCATCTAGACGTTTTCATGATAGGGTATGACCAGACAGTAACTTTGTTTGGTTCATATACACTTGACATAATCCTTAGCATTATGGGGGATCTATTATACCCATCAAGCAGATGAGAAACCAAGACTCATAAAAATTAAGTAACTCTTCCAAGATGACTTAGAGTGGCAGAACTCTGAAACTCCGGCTTGTCTTAATTCAGGTTGCCACGAGCTGTATTTGTAGCATCCTCCGAGTCAAAATTTCAGAAAAGAATTCAGAGTAAAGCATCCATCCAGGTTTAAGGTAAAGCTATAATAAGAACCCATTACTAGGTTATATAAACAGGTTTTCCTCCCTATCACAAAAATATGATTTATGAAATGTTTTGAAGCTATGGCTGCAAAGTACTCTTCTAGATTTAGGATGGAGCCTACTTCTTTATATTAGGACCAGAGGGGACTGGAAGGAAGCTTACACTGTATCATCTCTCCAGTGTTATCGTTTTTTGTTTTGTGTTTCTTTTTTTCATCAAGCTTCCATATGGTTCTCTTGAAATCAAAAATAACAAAAGCCATTGTGATTTTCTCAATAAGGACATGCCATTAAGTCATGATGAAGCAGCCCCTGGAAAGAAAGGATTTCTGGATAAAGATCACACATGGGTCACATAAGCTCTAAAATCCAACTGTGTCCAGAGAGTCCGCCATGTTAGGTTTTGGTGGTGTTCCTTTCTCTGATAACTTGACTGGGGTTTTCCCAGGACTTTGGTTTATATAAACACAGGAAGAAGTTTATTTATCAGTCTTCATGTGTAAACTAAAATAGTCTAAATTAGGGACGTTTACTAACTCTCCCTTGGCTAGAGAAGCCCTCCTTCAAATAGAGGTTACCCCACAGAAGCACACTGGCGAAACAGGAGGTAAGCGCCCGAATTGTTGGGGGCTCTCGGCTCCTGAGCTGCAGCTTCCAATAGGCTCTGCAGTGCAGAGCTGGGAAGCCACTCACTTAAAACCTGGGGTTTTCGACAGGGAGAAAAGTACACTCCAAGTAGCATGGCAGCTTAGGAAAGACCTGCTTCCTCTGCTCCGCCTAGGTCCGAGCAAACTGATAGGATATACACAGAAATAACAAACACACTACAGATTAAATATCTGTTCAGCACTCTCAGACACACACATGGCACACGGTTACAGGGAGAGCCGCCTACCACATTATCAGCCATAAACATAGAACTGAAGCTTTTTCGCTTCTGCAGAAAGGGAAGATCAGGGTCTGCACTTCACAACAGTCATTTATTTGGTCAAGAGCAAAGTTTCCAGTCGGACTGGACTCTCCACACTCTGCTTTCTGCAGCTTCTAAGCTTCAGTGTTTTTCGTCAGGAAGCTGGGGCTGACAATAGGATCTACCTCACCAGGATGTTATAAGGATTAAATAAAAGAAGATACACTGACCACAGAACTGAGCCTGACACGTGGCAAACTCTCGGTGAATAGGAGTTACTGTTCTTAAAATAATATTAAAATAAGCTCTTGTGTTTCCCTGTAAGTATTTATTTCCCCTTTCTAACCAAACATCTCTTGGCCACCTAGAGGCACCTCTTCTATTTCCTCGATGACAATTAATGTCAAAAGCTGACAGGCAAATTATAGGGAATTTATACTCACAAATAATGAGCCGCATTATTGCTGTGGAAGCCTACAATTACTTCAACAAATGCTCACTGAGCTCTGACTAAGCACTGCTAAGCTGCTCAAGGGATGTGAACATGAGCAAAAGTCCAATCCCTACCCTCAAGAAGCTTTCCATGCAGCAGAAAAGGAAGAATAAAGCTGGGGACAGCAGGGAAAGGATGAAGACCACTGTATGAGTGTCCTCGGGCTACCATGACAAAGCCCCATAGAGGGTAGCTTACGACAGAAGTGTATTCTCTCACAGTTCTGGAAGCTAGCTGTCTGGAATTGAGGTGCACCCCGTTCCCTCTGAGACTCTGGATAGAATCCTTCCGTGTCTCTTCCTAGCCTCTGCTGGTGGCCATCGGTCCTTGATGTTCCTTGACCCACAACTGATCGCTCCAATCTCTACCTCTGTCATCACGTGGCCCTCTCCCTGCGTGTCTCTGTCTTAAAGTTATCTTCTTATAAGGTTACCAGTCATATGGGATTAGGGCCCACCCTCATGACCTCATCTTAACTTGATTATAAATTACAAAGGCCTTTTTTCCAAATAAGGTCACATTCATAGGTATGAGGGGCTGGGAGGTCAATAAATCATCCTGAGGGACACAATTCCACCTCCAACAACTAATAGGAGGCTGAATTAAGATTGGTTTCTATAGATCTCAAAGTATCAACAAAAGGATGTGTGCTGCCTTTTCAGTAAAGAGATTCCACCTACATGATGTAACGTGATCAGTCACGACCCCCAGGCCTCTTTCGTTTGCTTTGTTTTGTTATTGTCTGCAGAATGAAGCATTTGGACTACAAGATCTCTAACTTCTAGATGCAATATTCTGTGATGTAGTCAGCAACCTAGCAGGTTCTTGACTAGCCTCAATATTTATTTTACTTGGTAATGTTGATTTGCAAATCTATGTCATTGTTGTAAGTTTTTGGTGATTGGATTAGTTTTTCTTAGCCCATGCTGTGGGGACAGGCTCTTCCTTTCCACATGCATGAGGAATTTCAGGAGCCTGGTACAAGAAGTCGCAGCCACGCTTGGCTAGGAAGGCCAAGTGTTCTATCTGTAACAAGAACAATGATATCGAATATTTTCTGTGCCCTTATGTTGTGACAACCTCTTAGTATGACTCATCTCATTTAATCTTTACAAGCCTCTATGGTTGATTCTATTGTTAGCATCCCAATTTACAGATGAGAAAACTAAGGACTGGAAAGATTAGATAACTTAACCAAAGTCACAAAGT